TCTGCCTGAGGGAATTTTTTTTTTTTCTGGCAAAGTGTGGAGGGATTATTAGATGGGAATACATCTGGAGGCAGACTTACCACAGAGCTGGGAAAGAATGGTGGTAGCATTGCCTGTAGAGACGCAGGATGTCAAGGTCATTTAGGAGTCAGAATTCAGTGCATGCCCGATTATCAAAACAGGACTGCAGGCTGGCTAATTCTCCATCCCTAGGAGATTAGATCAATGGGAAGTGTGAGCTAGTAAAGAAGGGAACCCACATGGAGAACAATAAAACTTAGTAGAGCTTGAGTGTGAAATATTTCTGAGTAATGTGGGATTGTCAGCTGTGTGAGGGATGACTCGGTTGTGAGGTAGGGATGGGTGCCTTCAATCATTGGCTCTTCTTTCTGACCAAACCGATAACAGTGATGACTCAGTAAACTTGCTGAGCAAGAGCTTGCTGGAATGCCAGTCCTTTTTTGTAGATTATATCCTAAGGGGTAGTTCAAGGCCAGAGATGTAATTTTGGAAGTTGGTGCTAATAAAAGACACTTATCAAGTACTTCTTATATGCCGGAGCTGGGCTTAGGACTCTTATGCATGGTTTCATTGTAAGGCATTGTCCAGATCCACAGGGAAGAGTTGGCTATTCTGTCCATTATATAGAAGAAATGGGTTTGGAAAGGCTAATAAATTTAGCCAATTTTGAAGCATGGGCCTCTTTGATTCATTGAGCTGGGGCTTTTAAACATTTTATTGTATTGCAAATGATAGAGGTAGGGATTAAATTAAGTTTCTGTTGAGTCACCTACAGATAGTGTGAGATGACAGTTGGATGAAGAGAGGGATGAAGAAGGGCAAAAGGAAGACTCCCTCTCCCTCTCTCATGTTAAGGGAATAACATTTAGGAGAGGAGAAAAGCCAGCTAAGGGGACAGAGAGGAAGCTGCCAAAATTCAGGTGGATTACAAAGAGCAGAAGATTAGAGACGATGTTACTAAGTTTGTGGATCACAATCTGAGCCCCAACTAATCAGGTTCAGTTTGTCCACCCTCCCTCCTAAGCCAATTTAAGAGCTAAATTAATATCAAGAAGCCAAAAAGGAGATTTATTAAGTGGAAGAGGGACAGAGAGATACAGTGACTCCTCCCCTCTCAAGTCCATCTTGATGGCCCTAAACTGACAGTTCTAATCCAATAAAAGAACTATGCGCAACTAAGTCCAGGTGTGGTCCCTTGCCCAACATTGTCTCAGCTCTGAGTCATTTCTGTAAGCTCATCTGACAAGCCATTAAGTCTTCAAGAACAAGTTCCTCCTCTGGCCACTCCCAGAGCTTCAGCCATTTCTTCTCGCTGTAGGAGATTCCTGGGAGGCGGAGTCTAATTTCTTGGATTGCATTGTTTCACTGGTCTAGTAGCCAAAGACAGGAGCACACTGTGAAGTGCCCAGTGAATCGCTATCTATTATAGTCATTCCATTGTTGGATATTGTGGCGAAGAACATTAGAATTTATTCCTCTTATCATCTCATTCCTCTTATCCAACCCATTAACTTCTCTTTTTCTCCTGTCCAACACCTTTCCAACCTTGGGTAGCCAGAACTGCTGCTCTTATCTTCTGTGAGGTCAGATTTTTAACTTCCACACACAAACAGAAACATGTGATATTTGATGTGTGTGTGTGTGTGTGTGACTTAATACAGTGACTTTTCAACTCAATCATGTTACAAATGAAAAATTTCTTTTTTAAGATTTTTATTCATGTGTGTGTGTGTACACATTTACTTGTGTGACTGCATGCCATGTGTTTGGCTGTGTGAGTACATGCTGGTGTGTGTGTGTGTGTGTGTGTGTGTGTGTGTGTGTGTAAATGAGTATGTATGCCTGAAGAAGCCAGAAGAGTATTTATCTCCTGCAACTGAAGTTACAGCCAATCATAAACCTCCCAGTGTAGGTGCTGGGAATCAAACTTGGGACCTCTGGAAAAGCAGCAAATGCTCTTAACCACTGCATCATCTCCCCCACTCCATTGAGTTCATTGTTTGACTCTGTTTCTTGGCTACTATGTGAATGTAGGCAACTCTTTGTCTATGTGTTCTTAACTGCCCAGCCACCTTGACAGTTCTGTTTCTATGTGATTCTTTTTGTTATAGGGTATAGTAAATATATTGTGTTCCTCTTGGATGCTTTTTCTCTGCACTGGCTTCTGGTCCTGCTTTTACTTTTTGGCCTCCCTTTTTGTCTTTTCTTGTTTTTTTGTTTTGTTTTGTTTGTTTTTCTCTTCCACCTCCCCTGCCCATTTTTGAATCCTTATGTTCGCCAGCATTTCCCCCTTTCTCATGGGATACACTTTCTGAAGACTTTAACTGCACCCTGGATACTGAAACTTCCCAAAGAGTACAGTACTGTACACTTTTTACACAGTTGACTCAGACTGAAATAGTTCAACTTTTTGCTGGCATATACAGGATGTGTGTGTGTTCCCCTGGAATAGTAAACACAGTACTTCTGACAGTGGCTTATAACTGGTCAGATATCTACCTCTGCTCTTCCCTCCTCACGGTCTTGTCTCTTCAGTGGGAACTTGCAATTACTGAAGGTTCTTATTTCTCTGTAGCCCACACTTAATGCCCACATACTGTTGTTACTATCCCTTGTCAAACATTTCTAGACTATATCTATCACCCTTGCTCTCTATCAGCGCTAGACTTCAAACCCAGAATCAGAGGAGGTCTCTATGGGCTGTTCCCTCATCCTCCTGATTAGACTCCATTCAGGAGTCTAACAGTCACATTCTTGTGGCTGTCAATGGCCTGAGAGCCCAGGGGAGTCTTATCATGTTAACAATAAAGCCCTCCACAGCTAGGTCCTACATGCTAGGTAATCTCTGGCTACCCCTATCCCTTATGTTCCATCATGGGCACCATGCCGTTTCATGTCGCCATGGCTGGGCCACTTGTGTTCTATCTATCTGAAACACCCTCTTGCCATGCCTTGCCCAGCTAGTTCTGACGTAGCCTTTTAGGTGTAAGTTTGACAAACATTCCTTGAATACCAAGTATGTGCCAGGTTGAGTTGAACGGGAAGATAGGGACCATGTGGCTGTGGAGTGCATTCTCATAGATGCATGACTGAACTTTGATTCTTGAGCTGAGTGTCTCTCCTAGGCCTGCCTGCCTTCCTCAGCAGATCGTCCACATCCGCATTGCTCTTGGTTTGACAGTCTAAAACAGTCTTCTGTCCTCTGTCCTCTGGTTTCTGGCACACTGTCAATGTCCCAAGGATCACGAAGGTCTATGCTGCAGTGTTCTTGGCATTTTAAGCACTTAGATAGAGCTTAGCATTTGTTAGATTCTGGGATTCTCTTGTACCTCAGCTATTGGTTATGAATTATTTGTTTCAGTTTAGACGCCTCCATTTGTAGATGCTTTCCTGAGCCTTTAGAAGAGTCTGCATCCCCATGATTCATCCTAGAATATCTCTTACTATTTCTTCATGTAGTTTTGTATGGTTGTTTTTTTCCAGCCTTCCATGATGAGGTGTCTTAAAGTGAAGTGACACTTGTGAGACCACCGCACAATAGTGTAAATGTTTACTGCATGCCTCGGCTACATGATATGTGTGTGCATTGTGTGCACATGTACATGGTATATAAATTATATGTGGGGGGGGTGGTGTGTGCATGCGCACACATGCAGGCCCCTCTCAAACACACACACACTATACACACAGTCTAAACCACAAGGAAGAAAACAGGATATCAAATCAAACACATGAGGGAAAAAGATGATGAAATCAGAGACGTGGTGAGCACAAGATGCGCGAGTCTTCTGCGAGAGGAACAGGGTGTGTTGTATTACAGTTAACTATTTTCCTAAGTGGAGAGTCTGTATTCTAAAATGACAATAAAAGGAATAGGACAGAGAATAAACTCACGGCAATCATCTGCGATCAGGCACAGAATTGCCTTTGCTGTGTGCTCATGTGGTTGGTGACACGGTAGGTTTATAGGAGCAGCATCAGATGTGTGAACAATGCAGTGACATTCTAATGACCAAGACACATTTTGATCAGACCATTAGATGGTACCATTGTTGGGTATGGAGCTTATCATTTACCAAAAAAAGAAAAAATATTGCTATGTTATTGTTTTGTTATGCATTTTGTGGCAAATTCCAAGGTCTAGAGTGTAGCTAACAGAATGGCTGATAATACATTCTCAATAAATATTTGTTCACTGAAAGGCTGTTTTCCTGGCTGGATAAGAATCTTGAATGCATTGCTGGGGCTTCTTAAAAAAAAAAAAAATCAGAGCCAGGTTTGTCGAGATGGTTTCGTGGTTGCCACAAGGCTCGATAGCCTGAGCTGGATCCTCAGGACCAACACGGTGAAAGGAGAGAAGTGATAACGACGTGTTGTCCTCCGCCCTTCATATGTACTTGGGTGCTCAAACAAGTAGGTTTGCATGTATGCATGTGCACACACTAAATAAGACGTCATTTAAAAAAATAGCTTTAGAGGTTGGCCTGCCTGTTGCTCTCTCAGAGGACCCAGGTTTAGTTTCCAGCACCCATATTAGGCAGCTCAAAACTGCCTGGCCCTCCATTTCTAAGGCATCTGCTGCCTTCTTCTGGCCTTCACGGGATCCAGACACAGATGTTCACATACATACATGCAGGCATTCACACATGCATGTAAGATAAACATAAATCTTATTTTTAAAGTTGTAAGAATTTAAAAAAAGAAAAAGAAAGAAAGATCAAAGGCAAATGCTTGTTCCCTGGGTCACCTTTCGGGTCTGTGTAAAGTGGAGATGGTCGTTCCTATGGATTCTTGCTGGAGAGCAGCCGTAGAACCACACCAAAACAGATCTGCCTAAATCACTTGCACAAAGAGGAAGATGGTATTACAGAATTAAATACGTCATCTGGCTGAGCAGGTGGCTTTGGATACCTATTTCAGGAGGTGTTTTTTAACTCCCCCACAGAGAGTTTAACATTTTTCTTTCTTTATCTTCCCAGCATCAATGACAGGGATGGCAAAGACTTTTACAAAGAAGCATGAAGGAAATCAGGTAAAAGATCTGTGAAATACTGGAAGCATTTGGCTTCGATTAAAAAAAAAATCCCCAGTAGAGGTTTTCACTGATTGCGCTTGGGAGAATAGAATATTGCTAAATGTCAAAACGCATAGTAACTATTATGAAGTGGTCAAAGATTTGTGAACTTGTACTCTTGGCAGAAGTACTATTGATTGTTACTTTGACATGCACAGATGCTTTGAAAGCAAGAAAAAATATTTACGAAAACATAGAAAATCATGATGCATCTCTCGTGTGAAGCTCAGCACTACTGATGTAACTATGGTGCCAACACTTGCTTCCACCATTGCTCTTGTTTTCGGAGGCTTCCTTTTATTTACGTTTATTGCAAAAATCATTAAAGCAGCTTGAAGTAAAAACGTTAGGCATGACAGATGTCTATGAAGGCAGCCTTTCCTTGGAGACATTTGTGTCTTTGTTTCTGTTTCCGGCCAATTCTGGGATTCTGTGTGCTAGAGAATAAGACAGGAAAGGAGGAAGGAAATAGTTGGCTGGCACAAGGGAAGTAGGAATGTCCTCATAAGATGCCTGAATGCCTGGCTCAGTGCACCAAGCATTGTGCCCTTTGACTTTCTAAAATTTAACATTAAGATTTTTTTTAATATGCATAATTTACAACCAAAGAGAGCAAACTCATTTCAAAGCCACACAAATAGCATGTTTTAATAAAATCAAATAGTGCCTTTCTAGATGAAAATAGAATTAGTGAGGGAAATGGTACTGACACTTTGGCAAATCTTATTTGTATCTGGTTTAATTGTGACATTTAGTTACAATGGTGCTTAATGTGAATTGTTATCTTGACAGAATCACCTGTGAGATAGGTCTCTGGAAACACCTTTCTGGGAATTATACTGATTGTATCAACTGAGGTGGGGGGACCTACCAATTGTGGCATCATTTCCTATCATAGTCCTGGGCCGTGTAAGGGGAGAAAGGGAACAGAGCGGCAGCATGCATTCCTTGCTTTATTCTTCCTGGGTGTGGATGTGATGCTGCTTCCAGCTTCTGCCATCTTGACCTCCCTGCCATGATGGACAGCAACCTGGAACTGTGAGCCAGATTAAGCCCTTTCTCCCTTAAGCTGCATCTGTCAGAATGTGTATCACAGGAACAGAAAAGGAAACTAAAACAGTTAGCTTATTGCTGTTGTTGCTGCTCTGCCAGGATGCCAAAAAGAAACTTGTAGAATGAAAGAGTTATTCTGCTCAGGGTTTTAGGTATTTCCTTTCATCATCCATGGAGGGTGTGGTGGAGCTGAACAGCTCACATCATGGCAGCCAGCAGAGAGAGAAACAGAGAGGGGTTGGGGAGAGAGGGAAAGAGAGAAAGAGATAAAGAGGTAGAGAAAGAGAAGGAGAGAAAGAGAAGAAAGAATGTCTGTGTTCTTGGCTTTTTTTTTTTCTCTCCTTCCATTTTATCTAGTTCCCTAGTCCCCAGTCAGGGCAGGTTTGTCTTAATCTTGTTTGGAAACATTCTTAACCAATGTAACATTCATACCTAATATGTGCTGCTCAAATCTCCTAGATACCCTTCACTGCAATGAAGTTGGCAAAATTAACCATGGCAAGGAGACAGAGATGGATCTCATTTCTGCTCTCATGTTCTGAGAGATGAGTAATGAGTGAGGATGCCTGGTAACATCACGTATCTGTTCACCCTGGGACACTGCACTGCAGTGCTCATTAGAGAACAATAAAAAGCACAAATCAAGAAACAGTTTGATTTGCTGGGCTCCCAGGCTGCCCCTTCAGAACCACCCTGAGAGAAAATTTGAAATTCAGCTTTTATTTGTTTTCTCTAGAAGCTGAAGCCAGTCATGAAAAGAAGTACACAGGTCTAGAGAGAGCCCAAAGGCTTTGCTAGGCAGTGCCCAGCAAAGAGATTTGACAGTGGAAAACACAGCTCACAACATAGTTATTATTTTTTAGTCTCCTGACCTTTAAGCACAATAGCCCAAAATACCTGATGTCTAAGACTTGTATGATCTAGGAATATGGGTAAAATGCTTTGGGTTGGGCTTGTTTTGACTTGGACACACACTGGATGTAATGGCATGGTGGGTGTTTGGAAGGCATTCTTGGGGTGAGATACATCCCAAACTACCTTCTGGAGATGATGCCGTTCAGCAGTGAGGGACCAATCACCTTGCCTGTGTCTTGGCAGAGCAACAAAATGACCAACATCTTGATCATTGCTTGCTGCGTGGGGTTTGTGGTGATGGTGTCATCATTTCTGGTGCTTCTCCTTCAAGGTAAGGTGGGAGCAGGGATGTGAACTTCAGAGATGAGACGACTCCAGGGATGTCAAGAGAGTGGAATATTTCTGCTTCCTCCTCTTTTCTTATCCCCCAAAAGAATCAGTTCTCTCACTGCCCTCACCCAAACCATGGGGATGACAGGTATTAATCACCAAGTGGCTTTGTGTATTGTCCTGGTAAGGCTGATGATTTGTTTATCAAGAGATAAGACCAAGAGCACATTCGTTGATAGGACACAGATGCCATACACAAGTTGCGCCTAGTTTGTTCTGTCTTTGTTACTGCCTTGTATAGAAAGGACTATTGTTTGTTCTCTCTCTCTCTTCTCTCTGTCTCTCTTTTTCTCAGTTTCTTCTACTTTGTTCCCTCTGACACAGAGTTTCTCTGTGTAGTCCTGACTGTCCTGAAATTTACTCTGTAGACCATGCTGGCCTCAAACTCAGATCGCCTGCCTCTGCCTCCTAAGTGCTAAGATTAAAGGTGCATGCCACCATGCCTGGATACTCGATATTCTCTTGTAGTTAATTAATTACCATGTGTGTGGGTATTTTACCTGCATGTATGTGTGTGTACCACACATGTGCCTGGAGGCCATGTAAACCAGAAGGCATAAAATCTCTTGCAACTGAAGTTACAGGCAGTTGTGAACTGTCATGTGGGTTCTGGGAATTGAACCTGGGTCCTCTGGAAGAATATTTTATGCTCCTAACCACTGAGCCATCTCTCAAACCCTGTTACTCCTTTCTTACAGTTAGAAACACCCCTGGGCTCCTATTATTTCCTTTTTGTTTTTCTCTTTCTTTCTCTTATTTTTTTATTTTTTCGGTTTTTTGAGACAGGGTTTCTCTGTGTAGCTTCTTCTGTCCTGGACTTGCGTTGTAAATCAGACTGGTCTCAAACTCACAGCTATCCTCCTGCCTCTCTGCCTTCCTAGTGCTGGGATGAAAGGCATGTGCCACCATGCAGGCCTACCTAATATTTTCAAGGAGTGTCACAGGAGTAAAAACATGAACAGTCTTGCTCTTATGTGTGTCTTTAAAGTAAGCTTGCTTAGGGACCACAGATAGTGTTCAGGAGAGAGAATCCTTGCAAATGGTTTGCCAACATATTCATGTGCTTATGCCTGTATTTTTCGGGGGACAGGGTCCAAAGTTTTCATGAAATTATGAAGTTGGCCTATGATTCACACTTTCCTAACCTCAAAACACAAACAGGAAACTATAACTGTGCAAAGTGTAGCTATGAAGTAAGGATTGTGGTTTTCTTTTTTTTATTTTATTAATTACACTTTATTCAGTTTGTATCTCCCCATAAACCCCTCCCTCCTCCCCTCCCGGTCCAAACCCTCTCTCCCCCTTCTTCACGAATGCCCCTCCCCAAGTCCACTGATAGTGGAGGTACTCCTCTTCTTCCTTCTGATCTTAGTCTATCAGATCACATCAGGAGTGGCTGTATTGTCATCTCTGTGGCCTGGTAAGGCTGCTCCCTCCTCAGGGGGAGGTGATCAAAGAGCAGGCCAATCAGATTATGTCAGAGACAGTCCCTGTTCCCATTACTATGGAACCCACTTGGACACTGAAGTGCCATGGGCTACATCTGTGCAGGGGTTCTAGGTTATCTTCATGCGTGGTACTTGGTTGGAGTATGAGTCTCTGGGAAGTTCCCTGTGTTCAAATTTTCTGGTTCTGTTGCTTGTGGTTTTCATATAAAGCACAGGCACATAACACCAAGTACTGGTATAAAACAGAGAAACTGGCGCTTCATGACAGTCAATCATAACACGAGATTATTCACTACTGAACCTGCCCTTGAAGAGTACTGCTAAAAACATCTAGAACTTCCTGGAAGCTTACTATTAGCACGTATATGAAGTCATAGCTTCTGTTTTGGATGAATCTGGGCATATCTCATAAAAAGTGCCTTAAAACCCAAATGAGGTATTGCCGAGGTAGGTTAATCAGTAAAGTACTTGTCACTCAAACACAAGAACATGAATTCGATTCTCAGGACCCATACAAAAAGGCCAAGCATCATGGCATTTGCTTGTAATCCCTGTGCTGTGGAGGAAGGGACCGGTGGATCTCCAGGGCTGTTCAGCCAGCCAGCCTAGTTCATCTGCAAGTTCAAGGCCAGTAACAGACTCCTTCTCAAAGAAGCAGGTGGGCAGTGCCTGATAAGCAACACTCAAAGCTGACTTCTGGCTTATATGTGCATGTACATAGATATACACAGACACCTGCATACACATATAAGCCACTGCATGTATGAATACTCACAGACATACATGTGTACACACAAAGTCAAATGACTTGAGTTACTAGGTAACTCAAGAATGTAACAGTTTATAGCTTTATGGGAGAGCATTGTCCAACCCTCATCAGAGAAGCTTCTGATGAGGTAAGTAAGTAAGTAGATGGTAAGTAACAAAGAGAGCCACAACTGGGCAATGTGCAGAGAGTGAGAGAGTTCGGAGCACTGAGCCCTGACTGGGATTTATCAACCCCCTCCCCTCAGACTCAGGGATCCATTTGGAAGAGGAGGCAGAAAGGTTATAAGAGCCAGAGGCGCTGGGTGACTCCAAGGAAACAGAGTCTTCCAGACACAACAGGCCTGATGCAATATGAAATCACAGAGACCATGACAGCATACACAGAGCCTGAACGAAGCAGGCACTAGGTCTATACAGATTCAAGCTGGACAAAATCCCAGCATCGAGAAGGGGAGTAGATACCAAGTCCCACTCTAACCCAGAAGCTCTTTGCAACTGATACCTGCTAGGAAAAATCAGTTTTATCCAATGGAATGTCACTGGATATATCAAGTACACTCTAAGGCAGGCCCAAAGCCCAGGAAGAGTTAGTTGGCCAACACAAAATGAATTTCATGTCTTGCTTATGTGAGTGTGCACCCACTTTTTGTTTTGTTTTATGTATTTTTTGTTTCATTCTTTATTGATTTTCTTTCTTTTAGTGTGTTTATCCATTTTGATTTTCATTTTTGTTGTTGTTTTTCATGTCTTTTTTTTGAAAGAGAGAAGGAGAGAGAGTTGAAAGGAGAGGGTAGAGAGCATGAAGTTGAGTGGGCAGGGAGGTGGGAAGGATCTGGGAGGAGTTGGGGGGAGAGAAAGAAAATGATTAAAATATGTTTGATAAAAAAAGTTTTTAAATAAAAATGTATTAAAATTTTAGCAGCTTAACACCATAGCCCACAACACACCACAGTCCCCAAGGAACAGGTCTGACATGAAGAGGTTGAATTGAAGGCCAGGAGCAGCAGGCATCAGCCGGGGGGAGAAGAGGCTGTCCTTGCCAGTCTAGTCTTTTCGGAAAAGGGTGGGCTTCTCCCAGCAGTTCACAAAGCAGCCCTGCTCACATCATGGCCTTGTCTTTTCAGGAAGAGTCAAGGGAGCCAATTGTTTGCAGAGACACAAGAGGTAATTCATCTTGCATGGCTGATTGTTGTGATGATTATACGCCCTGTTACATATGATTAGACACTACTCAGCGGTTTAATGACTTGACTTGTGCTGGTGCTCTGATTAATCACAGGGTTGGATAGACATGGCATTAGAGGCAGAAAAGGCTGTGGAGATTTAACTCGCATTAAACCCATAGCTCAGTTAACACTACATGTGTGCCCCAAACAGAACTAAGGAAAGCAGTAGCATTCATGGAAGTATAGCCCGGGAAAGAAGATGATGATGTGTGCCATGGTGTTTTCTGAGTGAAGCTGTTTCAGTCCTGGGTGACTCATTTTTGAAAAATGCATTGTTCTTGTGGAGTCACTCAGAAAAGGGTTAGCAATATGAAAATTAAATAAAATACTTGCAATATTATTCCTGGGATTTGGTTCCTTTGCCCCATAGACCAGAATGCTTCACCGCTTTTTAAAAATTTTTTAACTAGATTTCAGGGTTAGGGAGAATAGTGGTCAGAGAAGATAGGTTATGGTAATGAAACAATGAGAATATAATGACTGAGATATCTCGATTTACACAGATACCTAGAAGAGGGAATACAATGAATAAAAATTTGAAGAAAGGCACATGGAACACACAAACACGAATACACACAAATATACTACTTAGAGTCTGGAATCTGCCTTTTCATATAACTAGGTATTGATTATGTAAGATAAATAGTGGATTGAGCAGAATATTCTGATTATCTCTTTATTGTTATTGAAATTGAGTATTGTTTTGATACTCAGAGAATTTGTGAACATTTGTATTGTCAGTTTTTAATTTTATAAATTTATATTGTTAGTTTTTAATAAATTATATATTTAATTTTTGAGAATTTAAAAAAAAAGAGTTTATGAAGAGTGTCTAGAATCAGATTTTCAATATCCGTTCTGTTTATATATTTTAGGGTGAAAGGAATAAAAAGGCTTTGGCATAAGTCATGGAACTAACTAATTGCGCCAACACCACACCATTTATTAAAAATGATGCATTATTAGGTAGAGAATCTAAGGCCCTGCAAGAGGACTTTCTGAGTTCTAAGCTGGGGATTCCTTGGGATATCAATGTGCTTAGAATATGATTTTATACTTTCACAGGTTGGCAAAAGCCCTCTGTGTCCTATTGCCTCAGTTTTCCTACCGGTAAAACAGGAGGCTTGGGCAGGATGGAGTCTGGGTCCCATGTCCTCAGCCTGGGTGGGTGGGTGGTGCTATAGCTCAGCAGGTCCTGTGAGTTTGCATTTTTCTGGTTTTTAATCAGCTTACTTTTCTTTTTACAGGCCAGACAACTCTGAAGATAGTAAGAGCGTCCTCGATGACATGTCACATGGGAGGGACGATGAGGATGGGATCTTCACTCTCTAACTTGCCACCTTTCTTAGGATTAAGCATGGGGAATGGCTTAATTGTCTTGAATTGTCAAAATATGTCTCGGGATGTTGTAATTCTCTTTTAAAGTCTCACATTTTTCCCTCATGCTGTGGGTCCGGTCTTGTTTTGTCTTCCCACATGAAGGTGCTTTAGAGACACAGCTTCCCTGGCTAGTGCTTTAGTCCTCTCTGTTAGTTTTGTGGCTAGGTGATCCTCTACCCTGGGCTTGAACACTTATCAGTGATGGTGAACTTGCTGCCACACCCTTGGGAGTCCCTTTCATCTCCCAGCAGTAGAAGGAATTAGAAATATCCAAAGCAAAAGCTCTTTTTGCAAACAGATCTGCCTATTGGTGATAGCTGAACTCACTCATTTAATCTGTCTGTCTTTTTCATGGAAACTATTGCCTTTCTTCTGAAACACAAATTCTGGTCCCTTTCCTAAACCAGTTGCTTTCCTCTTATTTCTATTTCTCCCCTTTTTTGTCAGTTTTCAGAGTTCAGAACCCACACTTGGTATAGCATGAGCAGCCCAATACTTCATTTGGGATGGAGATAATACCACAGAATCACATCATAAGTTTGACTGGCTCCTGAAACTCCTATTTTTTTTATGATATGAAATTCTTTTTATATTCAAGTGTCTTTAAAGTTGGCCATAGTGCCACCTGAACCCTCGCCAGAGAAAATGGATTTTGGAAGCAGCCGAATGCCTATCAGAGAGAAGGCATCTCTGATGTGCAAGGATTGTGCATGGGTGACACACTGAATCTGTCCAAGCAAATTCCTCTAAGTAGAATTCATTTTCTTGCAGCCCGGGAAGAACAGATTTGTTTTAAAACTTTAACAATTACTAGTATGATAAACCCTGAGAGAGAAATAAAAGCAAATAGCTGTTAAAATGAATGGACGTAAGAAAATACATATCGGAGTGAGGATGCTTGTAGCTGGCTGCTGTGGCAAGCTAGCTAGAGCTGAAAGACAATTCCCATACTATCCTCATGCTCAGGGCAACAGAATCTCTAAAGGCATAAGTCGCTAACCAACCTTTGAATTTCTACTTCCTTGACATCACCTTTAAGAGTCAGAGACTTTCTCCTTCTGGGATACTTCACTCATTTAGAAAGACAAATGGGATGTGCATTGAACGTATGACAGGAGTCTACCACAAAAGGCATCTGAAAGACTCTACCTAGCAGTGTTTCAAAGCAGACACTAAGACTCATAACCAAACCCTCGGCAGAGTGCTGGGAATCATATGAAAAAAGGGAAGTTAGTATGATATGGAAAGGATAGGAGCTCAACAAGGACCAAATATATCCGGGCACAGGGTCTTTTCTGAGACTGACATTCAACCAAGGACCATCTATGGGTATAACCTAGAACTTCTGCTCGGATGTGGCCCGTGGTAGCTCAGTAACCAAGTAGTTTTCCAAAGTAAGGGGAACGCGGACTATTTCTAGCAGGATCTCAAGGGCAGGCTGTTTGATCCCCCCCCCCCCCCCAGGGGAGGAGCAGTCTGTTAGGCCACAGAGGAGGACTTTGAGGCCAGCCCTGAAGATACCTGATAAAACAGGGTCAAATGAAAGGGGAGGAGGTCCTCCTCTATCAGTGGACTTGGAAAGGGGCAGGGAGGAGACCAGGGAGGGAGTGTGGGGTTGGGGAGGGAATGAGGGAGCGGGATACAGCTGGGACACAGAGTTAACAAAATGTAACTAAAAAGAAAAATAAAATTAAAAAAAAAATAAAACAAAACAAAACAAAAAAAACACAAATCACAGCACCCGCATGACAATTCACAACATTCTGAGTGAGGGGATCTGACACCCTCACACAGACATACATAGAGGCAGAACACCAACGTACATAAAATATAACTATGTAAAAAAAAGATGTGTCTGAAAAAAAAAAAAAAAGAGTCAGAGACTTCGAGATGGACCAGCTTGATGCCAAAGGAGCTGTAGAGTTTTTTTTTTTTTTTCTTTTCTTTTTCTTTTTTTTTGTGGTTAGTCCAGTATGTGAGTTGAGCATCTGTATATTTATTTTCAAGGACCCAAAGAAATTTCAATATGCAGCTAAAGCTGTTACCGTAATTTTGGAGTGATACCCCTCAAGATGCCACGTGTTACTGGGGAAATTGAGGTCTTAGAGTTCTTAGTCTAGTTAATAAAGGAATCTGAAAAATGGACTCAAAAGGAAGCTTGAAGACAATTTTATTAGAGTGTTTTTTGTTTGCTGACTTGTCTTTTTTTTTTTTTTTTAAAGAATTTACTGGGCCTAGTGATACATATTTTTAATCCCAGCACTGGGGAGGCAGAGGAAGGGCACAGGTGGATCTCTGTGAGTTGGAGGCCAGCCTGGTCTACATAGTGAGTTTGAGGACAGCCAGAATTACATAGTGAGACACTGTCTCAAAACAAACAAGCAAACAAGCAAACAAACAAGCTCCTAAATGCTAAAGCAGGAGAGTTGTAAATCTCCATGGCTGCCTGGAGGAAGGAGATAGAGAGGATGAAGACACAAAGCACAGACATAAATCCTGCATTAGGCTAGCTGGCAGGACAGCCACAAAATGGACGAGTAAGTCACAGGGGAGATGCACTTTAAAGAAAGAGAGGAGCCTAAAGCAGTAGGCAAATGGTGCTTAGCATAGAGACAATGTGAACCTGTCTTCCTAAAGGATGGTCTTTTGGGTGGGTGACTGACCAGCCCAACAGGATTGTCTCAAGGGAGGAGACAAGGGCATATTTCTACCAGAGGTGAATTCCACTCTTTAACGTGACAGCAGCACCCATCCCGACGACAGCCTGAATGTTTTTAAGCTATGTACTTCAGCCATCTGAGCGTGCACCATCTGAGCTTGTTAGAAATGTGAATTCTTGCCCTCATTCCGTACCTGCCTAACCAAAAACTCTATAGGGAGAGTCTGGAGATCTGTGGGTTAGCAAGCTCTTATGGAGTAATAGCTCCAATCAGGCGGGGTCACCCTCTTTCAGACGGTATGCTGGGGTTTCCTGAATCATCAGGCAGGGGTATTCTATGTTCACCTCTCAGATCACCTGCCTGGCTTTTAAAGTAGTTTCCTGCCAGACAGCACTAGTTATACCCTTTTCCCTGCTAATGCTTTCTTCATTCACTGGCATGAAATTTCTCCTGAGCACAAGCCAGAGGTTCCTGGCTCCTGACTTTCAGCTCCTAAATCCACATAGAAGTTCTTCCTGGGGCAGATGACAAATGGATGATTTCAGCAGCCAGGCATCAAATTCACTGAGTGGAGGAACTGAATGCAACTGTAGACAACAAGAATGTGCACATGCCTAATTAAAGACATAAAAATTCATTTAGTTAAAACTATGTCTCGTGCAAACAAACATATGGCTGTGGGTTAGAATAAGCAGGCGAGCTTCAGAATGGATTTGTAAAATGATGAGTTAATTTAAAACAAGCTGGAGATGTAGCTCAGTGGAAGAGCATTTGACTAGCATGGGTAAGGCCCTGGGTTCCATTTCCAGTGCTGTTTAAATATACTAGGACTCCTTGGTTAAAGGTGGTTTTTGGTACAGTTGTTTGTTGCACTCTCTTAGTGTAGTCAGGATGAATTAGTAGCTGTGTGAAAATGATCTTCTGGTATCTATTTAGTGCCAAAATAGAAGCCATGGGGGGAGGGGGGACAGAGAAAAACACAGACAGAAAGCAGAAAGAGAGAAGGGGAGATATTATTAAAGTATTTAAAGTTTAAATGAGATGATGGATTGGAATTCTCTTGTTCTCCATTTCCACAAGGAAAGACTGATTCACAGCAGCTCTTACAGCTGATACATGTGTAGGGAAAGGCCACAACATAACCCTGAGATTTATAGCAACCTGGTTTTTCAACTTTGACCTTGGAATGTTTAAGGTCTGATGATCTAAGAAAGTGTTTGAGGGTCTAAGAAGGTATTTTCAAGTTGGTAAATGCAAGTTATGGAGGAAAGCTTCTAAGAAAGTGTTTGAGGGTATAAGATGGTGTTTTAAGGCTGGTAAATACAAATTATAAAGGTTGGAGGTGTTGCTAACATTTAAAATTTCTCTCCTTTTGTAAACTTACAAAGATTCTTAAAGTTTGCACTTTTCTGAGACAATAGCTGAAGCCTTGGTTTCTGCTGTTAAACTGATCTTCAAGCCTATCAGAAACCTGAGAATGAGAAATTATAACAGGAAGTATAATACAAAGGCCTGTGTATCAATGAAAATGATAAAGGCTTACCCAGTACCTAGACTGTCATCGCATCAGGCTCCAGTCATTTTGAAGGTTCCATTGGAGACACAGGTCATGGGACAGCATCAGTCTTTGGTTGCCAGGCCTGGCAAATTTGAGAGGCCTTTCTGTGAAGTAGGAACTTGGGAGATAGACCAACCTCATTTTGTCTAGGTAAAATGGGGCAAAATGGGGCAATCAGTTGTCCAGGTGTCCTGTTTGTCCGCAGTCCAGGACAGGTTCCAGCAGCAGATGAGGCATTGGGACAGTCTTGCCCAGTTGTTATCGTACTGTTAGGGTCCAGAAGATGCTGAAAGAATGACCCCAAACTCGAGTAGCATGCAAACAACAAAAAAGGTGTTTATTCTGCAGAGATCCAGCACGCTGGATCGGCCACCCTCACAACATGGGGTCCCTTTTAAAGCCAGAGAGGAAAATTCCTACTATGGCAATGCATCCTCAATTGTAATTGGCACAGGTCAAAAAGCAAGGATATGGGTACATCGATGATTGGCTAGGGCTGGCTAGGGCTGGGGGCTCTCTAAACTGGTTCAAACTGGCCCAAACTGGTGGGTGCCTATCGAGGCTATGTGACTTCAGTTAGGGCTTGGCCTGTGCCCCTGAATTCTACATGACTCTGATCAAGACTTAGGGGCTTCTCAGACTAGTAGCTAAGCAACTTTATCTCCCTAAGCCAATTGTCCTGGTGAAGCCAGTTTCTGTGGCTTTTTCTTGAAACTGAAGTTTCTTTTTCTTTTTCTGAGGAATGGAAGACTCCAGCCAATTCTATCTCAGCAAGAAAATGAAGCCTATTATGAAGTTGGTTTTGTCAGGCTTATTTAGCCAGGCTCTCTCAGTGCCACAACTCA